CCCAAGTGCAGGTGCCCACAGAAGCCAGAGGCTTCAGATCCTCCAGAGCTGGAGTTACAGACAGCTGTGACCCCCTCCCCCCCCAGCAAGGCTGCTGGGGCCAAATACAGGTCGGTCCTCTGGGGAAGCGGTATACACTTATGGCAACTCCTCAGCTCCTCTTTCATTTCTGAGCATTACATACTTATCTTCTACCTTTTAAATAAACAACACAATCTTACTAATTTACATTTGATGGGTAGATAATCTTCATAACTGAGACATTTTACCAACCAAAATTTAATAGAGCTGTAATAAGAACTTTTTACTAAAATAAAATTCTCAGTGTTTATATACTTTTTACAGTCACATTTTCCTGTTCAAAGGTGAGTGTGTGTATATGCATGCACATTTACACACACACACACACACACACACACACACACACACACACACACACCACTGAAAAAGTCCAGACTTTAAGAATGGCATTGAGTAAAAGAAATAGAAACGCTGGTGTCAATGATTCCCATGTTTCTGTATGTCATTTTGGCAATTCTTTTCCACTTTAATCTACTGCACTCCTATATATGTATATTTCTTTGGCTATTTTGTTATTCAGAGTATACCATTCAACAAACCACAAATACAAAATAGAAAACAGGGAGAAAGGAAGGAAAGGAAGGATAATGCAGCCCCTGCCATCCTGATGATCAGAATATTAAAAAAAAAAAAAAAAAAAAATCAAATTTCCCAGGACAAGAGAAAACAGGACACATTCAGACATTTACACACACCATTAAAGAGTAAGTATGTGGCAATACTCAATAGAGAAATGGCAGATCCCAAGTGGGGTGGGGAATGGGAAGTAATAAAGAGGTTTTGCTAAATAAAGGGCATAATAGACAGGTTGGTTCTAAAGGTGCAGAGGCAAAGACATTGTGGGGAAAACGTGTGGCATGTATGTAACAACGGCATGAGATGGGAAACCCCTGGGCACATCTGGAACATCACCTTGAAGTGTGATCTAAGCATGTCTATCCAGAGGAGCAGTTGAAATTGAAGGCAGTTCACACGTGAACGGCAGCACTAAGGACAGAGTACTCGATCATACGTGTGATACTGAGCTGTGTGATGCCCCACTTGCCAATTCTGCTCTCAAACACTCCTGCTTCAGTGTGGCCGGTCTGCCTTCCCAGCTCTCCTTCCACAGCTCTTCTCACTGCTGCAGTATCAATAAGCATGTTCTTACAGAAGTGGGTGCATGTGTGTTTTTGCAGGTTCAGAGACTGCCAACTCTGGAGCAAGAACGACATCCTTTGATTTAAAAACACACTGAGCTTCACCTCAGTGATCAAAGCGTACACCTGACACTTAAGTAATTACAAGTGAAATATAAGAGACACAACTTACCTCACGACTTACAGCCTTGCTATTTTGAGTTTAATCACTGGTACTGCCCTGGCAAAGCTAAGTACTTTCTGCTTTCAGTCTTTCTGGTACACTGTCAACTAGGATTTACATTAAGATAGGTATGGGAATTACAAAAACCCTCCACTCCCTCCTCTTTCACTGGCATATTCTTTCCGGTGTGATACACAGGATGAAATGGAGTCACTCTGACATAGTCACAGAGGGACATACATCAGGGCCAGCTAGAGCAATCGGTCATCTCACAACCACACAAGTTTGCGTTGACTTAGTCCAAGACTCTGCCTCAGAACATCCCAGAAACACAACCTGCCACCTCCATTCTGAAGCATATACTGTTTGAGGCATCTGGTTAAGATACAAATCTCTTCATAGACTAACCAGTTAAAAACAAACAAACAAACAAAAAAAACCCAAAAACCTCTTCAGTACCTTCCTAAACGACATGTGAATCTCAACTTTCAAGCCCATTTTTTTCTGCCACTCTTACCAAGTATTTGCTTGTCGTGTCTCATGAAATATTCTAGATGTATGCAAGAAAGAATTAGACAGATAGATACCAAATCTAAAGTAAAAAACTAGTAAAACCCCCGTTCTTGTGAGAACTTTAACTGTAGTAGGGAGAAGCTGGAAGTAAAGGTAGGGTGGGCCTTAATGAAAAGGAGTACTTGAGCAGACACAGAACAAAGGGCCCAGGATACGAGCAAGACTAGTTTTCACAGACTATTAGGAGGCTGGGGTAGTTGATACAAAATGGGCAGAAGAGACAAGGATGGAGAGAAGGCACATAGAATAGAGTGACCACTACAAAGACTTGAATTTTATTCTGAACAAGACAGGAAACACCTGAGACTCCAGGAGCAAGGAATGACATGATTCAGAGTTTAAAAGGCCTGCCATGGAGCTGGCTACTGTGCTGAGGACACTTGGGTGGGAAGCAGGATTCTAGTGGATGGCAGCTGCAGTAACCTAGATGAGAAAGCCCGAGTACTTCTGTGGCTTGTGTAAGGTAAGGTTGGAATACAGGGGAGAAAAAAAAAAAAAAAAAAAAAAAAAAAGACTTTGAAGGTAGAATCTGCAAGATTCTGAGACATTGGCTGTGGGGTAGGAGAGGTTTTGGACCTAGGTGTGGCATCACCTGAGCTAAGAGAATGCTGGTGATAGGCTCTGGAGTTGCTTCTGACATACTGGACAAATAGTATATAATGTATGAGTGTGAGTTCATGAGAAAGGCATCTGTAGTCTTACACAAGTCCCACACCTAGGCTTACACACCTTACAATCTTCCCTGTGTCTATATGACAGGTCATTTATTCTGAAGGTCCTTTCCACCCTCATCTTTTTCTACTTAACCCCAGCCTTCAAAACTGATGTCATCTACCCCGTGACACACGTGACCAGCACTTCCTGAAGCACTCTTCTTCTTAAGTCACTTGGCGGTAGAGCATATTTTTAAAGCTATGTAATTTTCATTTTGGTAAAAATAAGGCAGACAGTTTGCAAACATAGCAGGTGGTCTGGTTGCTCTCATTCTCAGGTAAGTCCTTTAAGGAAAATTGAGACCACAAAAAGAGATCTCAACAAGTAGCCCAACACCTAATTTTGTACTTCTCAACACTTGCAGTTATCTAAAGATCATTTCTGGAAAAGGCTTGTATTATAGCATATACTTTATAGGCTCCAAATAAAGAGTGAAGTATCTTTGACAGTTTTACAAAGCTAATTTTCATTTTGACTGCCATTCTTTCACTTGCCCCGGGGAGGCATTTAAAATAGGGAATGATTAGACAAAAGAACAAAATCACATCTAGCTTTCTTGAGCCACTCCCAGGAAACAGCATCTAATGCAATCAGGAAAAGGGGAGGAGGTGTTATAATACAACGTGACATTAAAGCTGCTAAATCCAACTACAGCCTCCTAGGTAAGACTGCTGGAGAGCTGGGAGACCACATCTGGGACAGCACTTTCTCAAGGAGCAGTGCTGCATGCTTACAACCAGCCCATGGCGAAGCTGCTAAACAACCTCATCTTTCCCATGCATAACTTTCTCTAGTACCTAAAATACACCTGGAAGACAGTACAGAATGAATGAATGGGTAGATGGATGGATGGATGACGGAGCAATTCTAATCTCATGGACCTGAAATTTATCAAATACAAATCATCAAATTGGTATAAAACATTTCTTCAGGGTTTTGAAAAAAATGCTGACTCAAAGTTACTGTCTTTAAATAGTAATTACAAAGTGTTAATGGCATATGAAAGTTGGTGAGCAGAAGCAAACAAAATCTCATTAACAATATGCAAGTTTATAAAATTCTCAATAGATCGAAAGCAATATGATATTTTGACAACCATACCTGCTTCTGCAATCTGTTATACATTCATTGTAGGAAAATTGAAAGCCTTTGAAAATAAAACAGTACCAAGACCTCTGAAACATGCCATTACAGAATCAAGATTTATGGGTGGGGGAGGATAGCTTCCTTGGAAACCCATATGCTAAGAATGAGGACTTGGGTTTGCTCTTTTGAACCCAAGCAAGGGTGCATTACTATCTCAGTGCTAGGAGGTGGAGACAGGTAAATAAATCGCCAACTGCTGGCCAGCCAGCTCATTTAAAGCAGCAAGCTCCACACCAATTGAGAGCCCTGTCTCAGAAGATAAGGTCTCTAAAACCAAACCAAATCAAGACACCACCACAAAACAAACAAGACAAGGTAGAAGGTACCCGAGGACACCAATCAAGGATGACCTTTGACCCATACACCATACTCATATGAACAAATGTGCACACACGTATGAGTGCTTAGACTGGAGCTTACATAATATTAAGTACAACTAGGAAAAAATATCTTATCAACTTTGCTTTCAGAATGCATTAACACAATGGGTTATGGTAACTCCAATTGCTGGATTCTGACTGTTCTCTAAAGAAACCTTTTTTACTTGCTTCTGTTTTGTTTTTGAGATAAAGTCACTGTGTAGCCCTGGACAGCTTGGAACTCACTATATAGACCAGCTAGTCTCACTCACAGAAATCTGTTTGGGATTAAAAGTGTGTGGTGGGGGCTGGAAAAATGGCTCAGAGGTTAAGAGCACTGGCTGCTATTCCAGAGGTCCTGAGTTCAATTCCCAGCAACCACATGGTGGCTCACAACCATCTGTAATGAGATCTGGTGCCTTCTTCGGGCTTGCAGGGATACATGCAGACAGAACACTGTATACATAATAAATACATATATAAATAAATAAAAAATAAATTTCTAAAAAAAAATAAAATTAAAAAAAAAAAAGTGTGTGATGGCGCACACGTTTAATCCCATCGTTGGGAGGCAGGGGCAGGTGGATCTCTGAGTTCGAGGCCAGCCTGGTCTACAGAGCTAGTTCCAGGACAGGCTCCAAAGCAATACAGAAAAACCCTGTTTGGGGGGAGGAGAGGGAAGAAGAGTGTGTACCATCATATTGAATTTGCAAATGTTACAAACAGAAACCATGGCCTGTATGAAGCCAATCAACAATCTAACATTAAGTATCCTAAGCCCCAAGAAAAATATCAAGTATCAGTTTAAAGTGAGGAAACACCAACCTCTTTAATCTCATGTAGTTTTCACTGGCAGCAGGTCGGCATTCCGCTCTCTGTACCACTATTCCTTCCAATGACAGTTTATCTTGAATGGAAAGGGAAAAACTGTATTCAGAGATAACATTCATCATTTCCAAGATGGCATTTTGACACATAACTATAACATAATTCATAGAATCCAAGGAAACAAAAGGATGACATTAAGTTGATAGCAACATCATTTATCAGAATAGAGAAGCATCATTTTTAGCAAGCTGTAAACTGGAGACTGTTTTGCTTGTTTCTTGAGCTGCACTGCCCTTTATCAACAACAGCTTTAAACACACATAACAGATCTAAAAGGGCACACAAACAAAAAGGTGAAGGATTCCATCTGTAACAAGTAACTTCTGGAAATACAGTAACTCTAAGGCACTAAATCAAAGATCCATACACACACAGGAATGAGGTTCTAGAACAGCTAAGAAAATGCTGTGAAAATGGGCAACTCCTTATTGAGCTTACACTGTATACTCTGAATCATAAATGATAAAGAGTGTGTCAACGTGAATCTGTAAACCAAGGAATGCATATGTTTGTAGTAGCACTGGGAAGGAAGATAAGAGGGATTGCATATTTTAGGCAAGCCTGGGCTACCCAGCAAGACAATGAAGTAGTAGCAAACAGTGAAGCTACTATAAATATCTGTTTAAACAGAAATGCAATTTTCTTCCTTCTAATGACCCTGACTTAAAACCAGGAGAAACAGAAAGAGGAAACAAAGCCTGGAACTTTCAAGCCCACTGGATCAGGCACTCAGGGCAGGCATATGAATGGCTCTCACAGACAGCAGCCTCAGGAAAACCTGAAAATGTAAGACTGGTTAGAAACAGCTACTGTCAGTCATTTCCATGAGAATTCACCTGAGCTCTGAGAAGAGAGTCAAGAAAATCCTGACTGAGGAGGAATGCACTGATTCACTTCTTCATTCCACTAATGTAAATGACTACCATGCAGACGCACCACGTGGGCATCGCAGAACCAAAGATGATTAAGATACAGCACTATCTTCATTCAAACAGCACGTTTGCTGTATGAGCAGTGACACACCAATAAAACGCAGACTCATACGGAACCACATCTACACAATTCACACAATAGAATCTTCTAGTGTGGTCCTAAATACTGATTATGAAACACACCATCTGAATTAAATATTCCCAGAGCACCTCATTGTGCCCGGAAAGCATAATGACAAGACCCACACCTGGTGCACACCACAGTATGCCAGGAAATCAGTACTATACAAACCACACAATTCTTTACATTCTAAACCTGAAAATAAGTCCCTGTCATGAGTGAAGTTAGGAAGACTAAATCCTGAATTTTCTCAAAGCAATCACAAATCATATATCCCAGCTGGTCTCTGGTGAAATTGAGAGTCCTAAACAAGCACATGCTCCAGTCTCACATTAGTAAAATCTGAAAAATTCTGATGTATTTTGTTCTTACGTGTATGAGGAAAAGTCCAACCCTAGACAGTAAAAGAGGCTTGTCTAAAACAAAGTAAGTCTAGGATAGAATCCTGATAATAAGTCAACCACAAAGCCCAGGATTTACTAATGTTGAATGCTAACATGGCTACCTTTAGTACCATTTGTTAATGCTCCCCACCATTTAGCAGTACCTACTTTAAGAGGATACACTGAACTTAATTCTCTCCATGTGTGTAACACTGAAAGGCTGGGAAGGGAGTTCAAGGCCCCTGCTCATTTCAAGTTGATGCCACATTCTATTCTTCAGTCAAGGATACTCAAACAGAGCAGTAACATTCACTTCCTCAGACCATACTTTTCTGTTTACCATCATTTCAGGCCTAAAACTGCTTTCAAATGCTACTCAAGTTAGAGGGAAAGTTTTAATCATTAGCAATGAATGTTCCCATCAAGTGGCTGGTGTTAGTAAGCGCTCCACTTCTGTTACTCCCACTCTTAAATCTAGAAGGCCATCTTACTTTGGTTTAGGCACCCCCTAACATGATTTGCCTGTTCTCTGTTTAAAGCTAGCACATACTCGTCAAAGTCTAATGGGAACATGCTCTTGTTTTTTCCCAATGAACCATGCTTCTTTTCTTCAACACATTACTTATAGTTCAAGGGAAAGGTATTAAACATGAAATTCTAGCTCAAAGCACTCACTTGCACACCACTGCTGGCAATTACAAAGTATAAATAGAAAACAAATTTACAATTTTGTAGTTATAAAAACATTATGATTAAAAATGCCTCAATACAGGAATCTTTACTTAAAACTACCTTTGGACCAATTTGAAAGAATGCCAAGTATTTGAAAAATAATCCCTTTTTACTCTTTTACATTTACTACACATTTATCAAGTACCTATTGCATAAAGACGCCATGCAAAGCACACTAGAAACATCAGAGATAAAGGGAGCGTGCCTCTGTGGTTAGGGACTGTAGCGATGACTGTAACCATCCTCAAATGTCTGTTCTGTGCCATATTATTCTTAGAAGGAGCTTGGTTTCAACATTCCAGGATATATAATATATATATTAATATATGTACACACACATATATTAATATATATATCAGACAACATACCAAAAAACAAACTAGGTTTATTTGTGAATTTACCAAAAAATTTCAAAATTCAATACATTTACATTGCCCTTTGTTGTGTTTGTGAGACAAGGTCTCTCTATATAGCCATGCCTAACCTAGAACTTGCAGAGATACACCTGTTTCTGTCTCCCAAGATTTGGGATTAAAGTGGTGTGCCGCCACACCCAAAATAACTTTCTTTAATTTAATTTAAATTGAATTCCTATTTTTTTATATCTTCGAGTGCCTGTGAGTGTGTGATTTGTTTGCAGGTGCCCATAGGTCAAAGGTCCCGGATCCTCTGTGGCAGGAGCTACAGGGGTGGTGAGCCACCTGACTGTGGTACTGGGAACAGAACACTGGTCTTCTGGGAGAGTAACGTAAATAAAATGTGTATGTTTATGTACATGCCACATGTGTGTAAGTGCCTAGAGAGGCCAGAGGAGGGAGTTTAATGTCTTGGAGCTGGAGTTCCAGTAGGTCATGAGCACCAGATGTGGTGCTGAGATATGAACTTGGATCCTCCGGAAGAGCATCAGTCCTCTTTCCTGCCAGGCCAGCACTCTAGGACCTGACTTATTTATGGATCTATAAAACACTAGAAACAAGACATTTCTGGAGAATATGAGGGAAAAGAGCTGAGCTCACAGAACTCTTCTCATATTCAGGTCTAGCAGGATGGGGAAAAGGTACATAAGCAAGTTCAATATAATGGAAGCATTAGACATACATCTTTAATTTATTTCCAGATTAACACAGGCACTCATTTACGCACTATTAAATACAATGACAGATGCCCATAGCTCACCATACACTAGTGGGTAGTAGGTTAATCTCAAGTACTCCCACATACTTCTGCTCAAACTTGTTGATGCTAATTTAATTATGTAATTTGATTATGGATCAGATAAGCTTATTAAATTAAGGGGTGTGGCACCCAGGGCTGTTTCTATGTAAATCTTCTGTTAAAGACTTGTAAAGGCAAATTGCTTTTAAAGCATACTTTCTAGTTTGTTATGAACCTAGAGACAGAAAATAAGTGTATATCTACATAGATTTGATTAGTGTTACTGCAGCATCTAAATACTTGTTTTGTAATTGAAAAAACCAAAACTGATTGTTTAAATTATAGGTTTAGTTTCCACAAGAAAGAGAAAGCAGATGGTCAACGAGCATCCACTCTACTCAAAGCAAAGCTTTATCTTACATTACTAAACAAGCAGCTAAACACTTTAAAGTCCTGAGATAAAGCACAGGAATACACATTAATCACATATTTGTTTTGAGACAGGACTTACCATGTAGCCCTGAAACTTGCTAATGAAATCATTTCCTACCATCTTCTGAACATGGCCTCCCACATCATCCATGGGATTCTACCATACAAAGTGACTATACTGTGAAGACTACAAGGGCTACACAGCTGACACACAGAGTACTGGGTTAAACACAGAAATTATGTCCAGCTGGGGATCAAAGAGCGTTGTTAGAACCCTGACTGGGAAGACTTAGAGAAGGTGGGAGTAGGGATAATGAGGGAACTGAAGGTGGCTGGAGCAGCTTTGGCAGTGGCTTTAACAACTCCAGACACTCTCTTGTACTTGGAATTTTCAGCTCAGAAACTCAAACCGCCAAAGCCTAGGACCACATGGTCATGTCTGCAATCTGCAAAGAGGACACATAAGCTCATTCCACTGAGAGCCTTCAATCTCTAACTAGTTCTCCCTTCCCTTCCCTTCCCTTCCCTTCCGTTCCGTTCCCTCCCCTAGGTCTGGGTGTTTGTACAACTCTTCTGTGGATGATGGTAATAAAGTACCAAACACTTATATGGCATGGTGGTGCGTGCCTTTAACTCCAGCACTCAGGCAGGTAAGGACAGGTGGAGCTCTGCGAGTTCAAGGCCAGCCTGTTCTACAGAATGAGTTCCATGATGGCCAGGGTGGTTATACAGAGAAACCCTGACTCAAAAAACAAACAAGCAAACAAACAAACACACACTTAGATCTTTTCTAACATGCCCAACTCATTGGTCAGACAGGTTTATTAATTTCAGTTCTAGTTTTATAGCCAAAAGACTCTTGATAAGTCTAATAGGATCAGAGAGAAATAATAAACAAATATACCCTAAAGACAGATTTAAGGGTCCCAGTGCCATTCTGTTGAAGAACTGGAAGAGAAGTGAATAGTTAAAGTCACCTCTAGCTTCAGCAAGTTAGATTAGTAAGTAAGCAGGAAGGGTTCATGGCACATGAGCAATGAGATCAGCTAGATTAGGAAGTCCTCAGGCATCCAGAAATTAGCCAATTCATTTCCACAAGACTACTCAGGATCCATCTGCATGTGGACACGTTTGAGGATACTTCCAACTCCAGCTACAACACAGAACAGTAAGCTAGTTACTAAGACTTGGAGCAGAAGGCCTTCTAGACTTTTGAATCAACGCTCACAAATCATTGCTGTGCCTACTATCTTTGAAGAGAACA